CTATCCCATTAATTGCCTTTTACGACAAGCATGTGTTGCTGAAGACCAATTCTAACCTGGATCTTGACGGGTTCTCGCGGTTTAAGAAAAAAGTAAGAGTTCATAACATGAATCAACACTAGTCTTTATTTGCATTTATTCATGTAGTTTTATAAAACCCTGCTTTCAGCTAGTGAGATTCCGGTATATGAACAAGAGGATTGGGTGTAACGCCGCTTTGAACGAGATATACATTTAACTCACGCTTATGGGAGCCGAAAGTGACTCTTTAGCGATTATTACTTTGGTGAAAAGGTTATGCTTCAGATTAAGTAAGGATCATAATGTTGGTTTTTAAACCTGTGACCAGCGGATCCTAACTGGGCTACGGGACGCAACTCGCGCCTCGGATCAGTGAACCACCCATGTCCCACAATGCATCATGTAGAGACAAATTACAGCTGAGGTGCTGAGGAGAATCATTAGACTCCAATGGACGTGGTAATTCCTTGTGAGAAATAGAAGAATTATTCAATGTGTCAGTTGCTGTGAGCAGAGCCTGCAGATTTGCTCTAGCTTTCCGGCGACAGAAGATGGCGGGATGAAATACAATAAGGAAAATCCTCTTATACATGTGTCAAGAATACTTAAGTACTAGAAGTAGATGCTTCTCGTTTAATCTGACAAGAGCTGCCACAGGAGTGCAGTCGTTTCAAGTGATGAGGCCATATTAGAGTTAGATTCAACGAAACAGGTTTATTGGTTGCAAGATACAGGACCAACAACTGGAATGCAAGTTGGCGGATGGTGTTACGTACACAGTAGGACGAATTTAACATCATCAAAGAGCAGAAAGGTGTTGCTAGTAAAAGTGAATAGCATGTTGCAGTTTTTAATTCCGTTGTTTCGGGATATATAAATAAATTCCCCAAGTTTTGAGTGTGTGCGTGTTTCAGGTTTGATTTTTTACATCCTCAAACACACACCAATTCCCCTTTTCATATGTCCTGTTTAACGCCACACTCAGCATTATTCCAGTTATACGACGGCAGTCTGTAAATAATCAAGTCTGGACCAGACAATCCAGTGACTGACATCATGAGCATCGATCAACGCAATTTGGATCGATGACATGCATCAGCCAAGTCAGCGAACCTGACCACCCGATCCCGTTAGTTGCCTCTTACTTCAAGCATAGTCGCTTTTCATATGTAAATAGCTTTCTTTAAAAGCTCTAACGGTTTTACCTCCCTTGTAATGATTGTAATTAACTTATCAGTGTTTTACTAATTACGACAAATTACCAATATTGAAATGGTCACGTGTTTTGCGTATGCCGTCGGTCAATTGGTATGTATTTTGTTGTTATGAAATGTGAACTAGACTGACCTAGATTGTACGGACACGTCACCTCCTGGACGGTTATATATACGGTAACATCTGTTATCTACTCAGTGTGTTGACAAAGACTAACGACCTACAAAGAATAACGGGCTATCTGTCCCAGTAAACGGATGATGTTCATGAGATCGCTGAGATTAATGACGCCGTGTTACTTCGCTTTGCATAGAGAACAACTCGAAATTGCATCTGATCAACTAACTCTGAGGATAAATAGAAAGCGGCTATGCAAATATGAATAAAACAATTACATTCCATTATTCTCACCGTTAGGTAACACACAGACGACTCGCCTCGAATGTTTATTTTGTGTTGGAAACATGAACCATATTTGACATGTTCGGTATTTGCTTCCCCAAGAGCTGAACCAAAGCCGATAAACAGAGCGGTTCATAATACAACTTCAAGCCAAGCATGATGTGTTTGACACAAGCGGCTGTCGAATGCCCTTAAAACGAGGACAGTGTTGTAGCCTAGTGGTTAAGGCGTCCGATAGTAACGACGAAGGCCCGGTTCGATTCCCCACATGGGTACAGTGTGTGAATATAAAACGTCAACGCCAGAGGGCACTTGTTGATTATCCGGCGGAACAGATTGCACAGTACGTTGCCTACAAACAGCGGTAAAAAGATTATGAATTGATAACACCAGATGTCAACGAAGCCAATAAAGTTGGTTCCCTTGACGTGCCATTACTCGAAAACCCTACCCAATCACTCTTAAAAACAATTGTAAGTGTAATTACACGTTTTCCTTGAACTCGAAGAAAGGTTGTCACCACTGACGTAACGTCAAGCAAGGCCGCTATCTGAATCACCATCACCTAGCACGGGTGGCCCTGTCGTTTAAGGCGCCGCAATTCACGGTGCATACCAGCAACCTTTGATTTTGGGTTCGAATCCTGTTTCGCCCAATTGTTTGTAGGTTTGTCAGCACCACATCCGTGTTTTCGGGTTTCACAAGAATGGTAAACGTTTGAGACCTGCATCACTTCAGGCTATCCTCTAAGCATGGTATATAAACCGTGATATTAATGGAATTATTGTTTAAAGCGGCGTTAAACCCAACTCACTTACTCACTTAATGACTTCCAAGAACTCAGTACGAGCAAAATGTTCACTACGGTGATATAACTTATTCCGAGTTGGGTTGTGGCTTCAGTGGGTGAAATGTCGAAACTATAAATATCACTCTTTCATGTTACGGTCTGAGATTGGTTTTTCAAAGGATAATATCCTGAACGTTATTGCAAACAATTGGAGATAATCGAAACAATCAGGCCGTATTTTGCAGTTCCGTGAAATAACGATCGGGGACGAGGAAGATGCGCTACTTCGGTATGCAAGAGAAGGAAGATTGGGTTACATGAAGCATTGCCTATTAGGACTTCACGCGTGTAGTAATTGATAAAGACTAAAAGGTATAATGAGATTTTATATCTCTTTTGATCAGAACTTTTGACAAAATTTCAAAGCAATATTCTGCCGTTGAATATTGTTTGGTTCAAATTGTCTCCATCCGGTATTTCCTTGGATGATTTCTTTACAGTTACAGACAACGTCTGTCACAGGAGTTGCGTCCGTCAGCAGTCGGACCCATGGATCTGCTTCTCTGATTGGCCCTCATTGTGATCGTGGGTTTGTCAACACCCTCGCTCCACTGGTTCAGCGTGGGAACGTTTACAACTTGCGTCTCTTTGAGCTGTATTGTAAGCAAACAGGGCGTGAAACAAACGACATGCTGTTCACAGCAGCGTTAAACTCCCTCACACATTCGTTCACCACTCTCTCATGCAGCCACGCGTAGTGTGGGATATGAATAGAGATGAGTGTGTACTTATGCCCCCTTGAGGTCAAATGCTGCATGCATTGCAGCAAACATGGAGTTCAAGAACTGCTAACGCAGGAGCTCAAAACAAATTATATTATGAACCTTTCCGTTATTATTAAGTTACTGCGCCAAGGACAAGTAAGGACGCGTGGCTATGGCTGTGGTAGTGTTTTGCGCTCTGAACCCGTGGGGTCACCACAATCCATGGTTGTTGTGAGAGGTAACTCGATGGATCAGGTGGTCAGGCTCGCTGACTTTGTTGATGCATGTCATCGTATCCCAATAGCGTAGATCGATGCTCATGATGCTCTTGGTGGCGTAACCCGATTGCATAGGGAGTTGTTCATACATCGACCAATGGTCTGCAAATTGTCTGGTTCAGTCTCGGAAATTTACTGTGCGCCATCGCTCTGCTGGAATGTTGGAGAGTGCTGTGTAAACAATGAACAAACAACCCAAGTTAAGTTGGGATATCCAGACACAAGCCTCACACTAACGTAAACAGGAAAACGACCAATGTTGCATGGTTAATCCTGATATTAGAAAACGCACTTTGTGAAATATTCATGGAGGTATTATCTCCTCGCAACGTTTCTGTTGAATGAATACTATCGTTTAGTATCCGGCTTGTCATAGTGATAATTACACCATAAACACAATAGCACACATGGAGGTAAATGCACAACATTCATTACTGTGCTTAATAGAGGACGTTCAGCAGGTAGTTAATAGATGTATCAGGTCATTCATGTATGCAATAAACATTTCTAAAGTATCTTGTGTTTCTTTATGATGCTTTATTGATTGTCTGATTCGTTAACAGGTTGTCGTCGCATGCCAGGAAATCCTCTGCGCGGCGTCCGGTAACAAACTAACTGTTACTGTGTAATGCACATTGAGTGAGCGGCGGGTGTTGTCGGGGGCAGGGCATTCTTACCCTTTGACGGAACACCTGGTGTCATCACTGATTCTATCATATTATTTCGTAATTGTGCCTTTTAGGCCTAATGGAATCTGTTTCGTTGAATAATCGAGACTGGTTATTCTCTGGCGTTGACTTGTATATATATTTACTATTATCATGTCACACTGGCCTGTTTAGGCGTGAGTGATTCTGAGGTGTAAACGAACACGGGCTTAGTCCTACTCTCACATGTATATCCCAGCTAAATCAGCAACAGGTCAGAATTGATTTTATAACATCAGAGGTTTGAAAGATCGACACAATATGTTCTTTAAGCCGTGGGCTAAAACAGAGGCAACATGTTTTATTTCCATTATTCTGAAACATATTGGGAGAAATCAGAGAGTCATCTATAGAGATCATCCGTGCGCAAATACAAACAATATAATAAACACGTAAATATATATGACATGACAAATAATAAACGCAAGAATGTTATCTATGTGTTTTTCATGCCTGCAATGTATTTGGTGGCAAAGAACGTTCAGCATAGTACATCTTAAAATCAATATATTTCATACTTAAACTAAGTATCGATATGTGCAACTGATACAGACTGATCACAGTTGCTATTAAGGCAACGGCTGTTCCCTTGTGATAAAATCAGATACAGATGATATATAGTCATGATTGTTAAGCAGAACATGCACGCGGAAACATTACGCTTCCATTGTTTCTACCATCTGTACCATTCTCCTTGCAGTGTAGCAAACCTGATTTACAGGAATCAATACTCGCGATAGTCGGAATACATTTCCCATTGAAACCGCCGGAGAAGCCAATGTTACTCTCCTTTGTGACAGTCCGTGTTAGTATAGTGCCCGACTGTCACGGCGGTTAGTGCTACAAGAGACTGACAGCGTTTACTAGATTACAAAGTGCGGTGTCAAGACCCGAAGGAACAAGCCTAGACGGACGTGATTTTTACCTACATTTATGATTATCTTTCGATTGGTCATCAAGATGAGTGACATGAATCGATCGGTAGAACTGGGACTTGGTCGTTTCACTGGTCACGTATCCGGCTTGAATCGTAAATGAACGGTCTTAACCTCCCTACACCGAGAGATGCCAAAGGGAGAAGAGTTCTCCGCTTTGCTTCTGACATTTGTGTTGATGATTCACCTGGGGATGTTACTTTGTAATTAAACAGAGGATGTGAATCCTTCGTTGACTTGACAGCTCGTCGGATTATGTATGGTTAATAAAATATATTCCCCGGGTCCAAGTCCGACCATGGCACTTGGAAACGACACGAGCGATATGTTTGACGCGTATGAGCTCCTCAACAAGACGTTGCTGTTGGGCAACTTGTTTTACACCCCTGCTACCGCCAGTACCATCGTCCTCATCGTTCTCTACGTCCCCGTCTTAATCATCGGCCTCATCGGCAACGTCTGTATGGTAATCATCGTCTTCACGTCTACGCGACTGCGGAGTATGACCAACTTGTACCTGTGCAATATGGCAGCGGCAGATATGGCAGGTGAGGGTAACTGATTCTGTAGAGAACTACCGTTATGTATCATTAATAACACCAAAAAGCATGCAGATAACTCTTTAAAACATTACTGCGTTTGTGTTTTGTGTATAGCGACCGAAAAAGTTTAATTCGCTCTAAATTTACGTATACAATTTTGTATTGTTAACTTCAGTTATTATTAACTATAGTTATTCTAATGTATGCATTTTTATATACCAGATTGAGAGAAGAGTTCGTCTAATGTGCAGTTTTAAGAATCCCAAACAATATTATCGATTATTTGAGGCAGATTATTTGTTTTTAACCCATTGATATTCGGTGAACAGGGATTGAATGGTCTACGCCTAAATATGCAATTATCGATAGTTATATTATGTTCCGACATCGAATTTCATCAAAAACACCTACTGAAATATATTAATGTGAAAAGATTCTTTGCCCAGTGTTGGGGTACATAACTACAAAGCCATGTCCAGCACTTCCAAGAAAAGCAATGCCGTTTGTTTTATACCCACGGGACAGAACGGTTCCTCTAACATGGTACAAGGGGTTTGCTACTTACCTATGCTGGCTGGTGTTTAGCAAACCAGGCCCCAGCTGCGCTTCCTAAAAATACTTTGTCAACGAACATAACACTTTAGTGGGTAATGATCGTGTTGTGCTGGAAGGCGTGTGTCGTTCAGTTTCAATCAGACTGAAGGCATGGCTTGAAGCTTAATTTACTCTGCCTTGTCAGGCGACACTACATTGACGCTCAGTGATGTATGCAAATCTGCCTGCTAAAAAGGTTGATATGTTTATAGTTAGATTTTGAAGACACTTTGTGGGTAATTCAGAATGCGATAATTTTTCTTCATAAACATTTGAAACTATCTGTTGGCAAATTGATATTCCGTTACGTTTTTGGTCATGGCCATCGAAATGGAATTGTTTTACATCTTAATGAATTATCAGTTAAGTGTGTGTGTGTGTGTGTGTGTGTGTGTGTGTGTGTGTGTGTCGCTGCTTATGCTAGTCCGGACTGATGCCGATTTATAGTGCTAGCTCACTGAGATACCATGCCGCAGTTTAACATGAATACCCCACTCAGACACAGTATACTGCCTCCGAACCGACCAGTCCTTGTTTTAGCCCCTTAATGCTGAGCGCCAGACAGCTTACGGTGGACCACAACAGGTGAATGTACCAGTACTAATGCAACGTGGAGCACGTGTTATGCAGATCAGGAAGTTGTCCTGTATAACGTTGTGTGTCATTACCAATGTATTAACTGCCGGATAAAAGAAAATGCGCACTTGAAAAATGATTTTTTGACCATGAACTTACACGTCAAGTTATAAAAACGTTAAATCGCCTAAACACTGCAAACGTAAGGTACAAACCACAGCTATCATACTCGTATGAAATATATATATCGCAATCGAATAAACATTTATTGTTTGTTTCAAACATGTATGTATGCTTTATTTTGCCTAGCAGTTTACATCAGCATTTAGAATGTCTATGAATCATTCAGTTGCAACTAGGTCAGACAACAATGTATGGTTCTGGGTAAGTTTTGGCTACGAGTGACTGACTCACCATATGGATATGGTATGAGGCAATGACAATCATATCGTTCCACCACAATGGTCGCTAGAGATACCTTTATTACTGACAAGCGCTAATGCAGTGTGGAATGTAATTTACAAAACCTTACAGTGCATCCTCTATATGGAATTGATAATCTAATGAGGGGTTGATCACAGAGAGTACGCCTCTAAAACGGGCCCTGGTGTCAGTTGTCTCCTTATATGGAATATAATGGAATCCTATAATCGTCTCCATGAAATGCAGCACTCTGTCATTGTATAATGTTCTTTCATCTCAGTGAGCAAGCAGGATTATATGCCATTTTTGGTAAATATGATTCCAAAATAACATTTAACCTTTATTTGACGGGGTTTTATATTTATATTTTTGATTTGTTAATTTTTTCATATGTGATTTGTTTTGATTTCATGAATTAATATTCATTAAGTTCATTAATATTTATATACATCTACTAACAACATTACTCATTCATTGTTCAAAGGCACGGGTGGCCCAGCAGTATAGGGCGCAGCAATTGCATGATGCTGTATGGAGTAGTGTCCTGTTAGCGTGCTTATAAACTAATAATCGGAGGCTCGAATCCCAGAACAATATCCATACTCAAATCTCTACTAAAACGGAAATAACTCAATTACTGTTCAAAGCAGCGTTACACTATACCGACTCACAAACACACATTGTTAACAGTACTCTTTGGTATAGAAACAAGAAACAAACAACATCTCCATAATCATCAGAAATTATGTGTTTCTGAATCACTATCTCGAAAAAGTAAGCGTATTCTGCCCTACACGTGGCACTCGTCACAAACACATGCTAGGCAAGTCAATCGTTCATATGAAACAATACGTTATGGTACAAATTATAATAGGGAATTGCATCAGACATCTTGTTTGTCACTGACTCGTCAAATTTGAAAATGTCTACCATAGCACAATTTTGAAAGCTGAACAAAGGCCCTAGTTGTAAACCCCAATTGTGATGTATGCTGCTCTTTGAAATCTTCATGGAAGCAGCATGCTCGATTGTACCTCGAACGGTTTTTATATGTAAACGAAAAAGGCTGGAGCCACTACCCGATATATTGTCATGCCGCTTGTCATCAGTTTTGTGGAGAATGTTTTGTCACTGTACATGTTTATGCATGGACCAAATATGAAACAACTGAGGCGGTTTCCCTGGTCTCTATTATTTCTAATTCAGGTGGATAAATAAGTGGAAATGATTTGTCTTTTTTAAACTATTGGACGATGTCAGATCATCCTTATACTGAGCTTAAGTTAAATTCCCTTGTTTTGAGTTGCCAGAGTTGAGCAGAAAATCCGTTTCCTACGACAAAGAAACAGATCGGCAAGAAGAAGAACACACTTGGTGCACATTGGAATGCCTACTTCTTGTTTAAATTTTAAATAGATGTTTTCAGTGAGTGACGTCCAGCTTTTTCACATAATGATTATTTTCCAGTAAACTTCAAATATACATAAACATAGGATTTTCACAATGTACAATCATCAGTGATCATTTTACATTTGGCACAAAGTAGGTTATTTTATAAGAATTTCGTAAATATCAGTCACATGTCAGTATATATACAAAACAAACTGTGTCAATATCACATATTGCTAAAAAAAATATTATGTTTTTAGAGAATCGAAGCAATATAGACAGACCCCATTAAAAGTTTCATCTGACCAAACATAAGGCAGATCGTTGGAAACCTTCGGCAGTGTACAGATTTAGAAAAGGCGTATAATCAATGCACAAATTACTGAAATGGGAGTTACAAAACAGCTACTGCTTCGTCTCGCTGCCGTGCATGTTAAATATATACAATCGCACATACAGTGGCCCGTAGGGTATTACTTTGATGCAAATATCCACGAGTCTTCCTTCTTGGAGAACCAACAACCGTTCCATTAATTGTGTTTATCATGTTACGATTGTGATGGGGTTGTTTGTATGCCATGGCTCTAATTCCGTTAAGTATGAATGCCTTTGAAGTAATGCAATACCTATTATTACGGTATTATTTAGAGAAATCCATTAGCAAGGGCTACTGAACCACAGGAAATGACGAGGTGATTGATATTCAAAGTTGACGGCGAGGCTTAGAAGAAACACTTTTACAATACTGCGATCATATATCAAACAAGGAGACACCAAGGAATCCGACACGTAATGTCAACCTGACCACTCAACGCTTTAACCACTTGGTTACCAATCGACATCAGTTGGCAAATAAAAGCCACAAAATCATTTTTATAAACATCAGAAAACCCATGGACTTCGTTCCACCTCCAAAGTATGATGATATCCTTTTAGTTCCTTTTTGACTGAAGTTTGGAAAATATGAAATCATGACAGGATCAAGGTATTCTGGATTCCTATAATAGAGTTGAGTGTTCTTTCAGTGCATGTGGGTTGGAAAGCCAGATTCTCACTAAAACAATTTCTAGATGGTCATCATAAAACCAGTGCTCATGAGTTTCACTACAGTAGAAAACGTTTAAGACTCGCATTAGTGCATCCTTACTTGTCCACCAATCGCCCTCGTCATATAATTGAACATAAAAGGGTCAAAACCATTTCCATAGTCATAAGACATGTCTCCTAAAAGCACGATTCCGACTACATCATATGTTTGTGTTTATCAATCACAATAAAATAGTGACTGAATTCGCGATACGAGGAATTCGCGAAAAGGTAAGCGTGTCCTGTAATACTGGTGGCACCCGCCATAGACACATGCAAAAGCAAATCAATTGTTCACCTTGACAAACACGTACAGGAACAGTTGGTACAAGACAATTAATATAGGGAAGTGCATCCACAAATTTTTGTCACTGATGCGTCACATATCCACATATCTCCATGGTACTCCATTTTCACAGTGGAAACGTCATATCAAACTAGGGACACAACGGATTCGAACCCGGGTCGTAGGTGTGATCAGTCAAATCTTTAACAACTAGGCTACCATTTGACATCCTTTTGCAATGGCACCTGTGCTCCTGGCCTAGCTATATTGCATCCAATGGACACTAAAATGTGCACCGTAAGAAGATACAGTATTTCAGCCATGTCAAAGTGTAACTTCATTATGTTTGAAGAAATCACAATGTGATGCAGATCGAAAGCGACAAGGGTATAGTGAGGACATTCTATAGATTTAAGTAGATGTGAATGTGGGATTCAAGCCGTACAGCCTGGTAATGTTCGGACCATTATGTTGCAGAACACCTTATCAGTATTAACATGTCATTCCCTATTTTGGTATCAGTAGCTAAATTGTATGAGACATCGAATTCGCTGTTCGGCGTTGTGCCTGTCATTTCTGTGGCAGGCAATTTCTTCTTTTTCAGACTATAGCATAATGTTTTGTTGTTGTTGGGAAAAATATATAATTTCCG